GTAGTAGTAGTAGTAGTAGTTCTACAACTAACTACTACTACCACCACCAACTAGCTACGACTACCACCACAACGACGACAACTGCTACCGCCAAAACGCCCGCCAAGCACGTGCACGGCAACTAGACTTAATCAAGTTCTCTCAGTTAACCCTGTTTGCTCCGCGTCTCTAGTGTCTTGCCACGGGTGAAACTGACCGGAGCGTGGATGGTGGTGGTGGGCCACTGGGTCAGTGGAGGTGGGGATGGCCGTGTGGGTTTGGGAAAAGCTGCATGTTGAAACGTGCGCCCAACCATGCAAGTTCAAGCATGCTCGACCATAACACGGAGCACACCACCTGGACCTTCCTGCCCCCAGAGCCGACTCCGGCTTCTCAGCACTGGTACTAGTGCTAGTGCTACCACCACCACCACACTCAGGATCAGCATCCGAATCAGCAGCAGCATGAGCAGCCGCAAAGCAGTGGCAGTGCCCGCATCATCAACGATGTCACAGCAAGTTATCGTCCTTGCGAAATCAGTAAAGGCAGGCTGCTGGAAGAAGCAAGTGCGAGACGCGGCTTCAAGTGCCTGATCAGCACAATTTCGTTCATCTCCTCAACCGTCAGATGAAGTACCTTGGTTGCTTCGGGCGAAGGAACGAATCCGAGTAGTGGATTTGATACTTGACAACCTGTAAACTACTGCGGAAGACAACGCGGAACAAGAGATATGGCAACTGAGTATGCGAAACTATCCGAATCAGGGCTTAGCACGCCGACATTGGTGGCATGACAGCTGCGTGCTAACGAGTTGAAACCGTCGGGGCCTCCTGATCTGACCAACACTGGTAGCTTGATTGCTAATTTTATAAAAGGGCACAGAGGTCTAGGTTCAAAACTGAAAGCATCCAGACTGGGCCTGGGCTTCTTTCCGGCTGGCAACGATTGCAACAACAGTACCGGGAAGAAGGCTGTCGTTGCTGCAAAGAAGCATATTGACCCTGACCGAAGCCTCTTCAGAACCATATCCTTTCGAATCGCATTTACCGACCACCAAAGCGAAAACGCCGAGACTCGATGGCTTCCCCCGTGAGTCGTCGTACTTGGACACAGGTCATCGAAACAGCGAGGGGCTTGCAGGGTGGGATTCGAAAGCCGCTGAGCCAAACGGCCTGCAGGATGTAACCATGGAGTGATCTTACCACATATTACCACGACCACATGCACGACTTTTCCTCCTGGCCCCAAGCTAAGATTGCCAGCATTGCTACTACCAGTAGCACTATGAACAGTATCATTATTCTAAAGAATTGCCGCTACTACCCTTTGCTTCTTATGCGGGGCTGGGATCGCAATGAACACCCATTTCTCTGCACTACCATTGATACTATACCTGAACTGAATCTGAAGGTTGCAATCATGATCAGTACTGTTTCTACTGTGTGTCATATTTGCACGACTTAAACTGGAAAGTCTACATTTGCTACTATGAGCACTATGTTTGTTTTCCGTTCTCTTCTTGCTGCTCAAAGTACCACTGGTCCCATAATTCGTATGCCGACGAATATGTTACTGCCGCCACTACACTACACATCATTGTTACTGTCGTGCAATTATGACAACGACTGCTGTTGCTTCTGCAACCACTGGCCACCACCACTGCGGCTACCACGACCAAACCCCTCTTCCGCTCCTCCTCCTGCTGCTGCTCTCACTTTCCGTATCATCCTTAGTGGTATTCCCATTGCTGCTCGTGCTAGCAGGCTGACCACCACTGAGCAGCATGGGTACCATTACGATTAAATATCATTAAAATGATCACCATCTCCCTCCGACTACTCGCATCAGCTACTGCGTTGAGCATCGTCCTTGCCACGGTTATCTTGGAACCTGTGTGAGTAGGAACCCAGACCAGCACCTGAACTTCCTACAAACGTTCTGCTCTTGTACTGCATGCCTCTGTAAACCTTAAACCCTCTAAAACCCCCAACCCCCACGTAGGCAGCGCAAGCCGAAGCTCGAGGATTGGCCTGGTCGGCCGTCGAAGTTCCCAGCACCCGCTCGTTGTCCGGCTCCTGGGGTTCCAATAATCGTTAGCGTAATCGTAGTAGTAATAGTAATTATAGTGATAGAGTGCTGCAAGAGCCCGCAGACATGCAGGCTCTCAGGGGTTAGCGCTTTTGAAGTCCTCCAGACCCAACAAGAACGCAAGGAAGCCTTCCTGGACCCTCAAGCTGAGAACATCATTAAAAACCCTCACCTCGGAAACATGTGGAATATAGGGGCCTTCGAAATAGTATTGGCAATCATTTAGGCCCCTACATCAAACCGATGATGTGTTGAAACAGCAAAGAAACCCCAGGGTGTCGGCAAACCTGAGCACGGTCTTCAGCTTCTACCCACCTGCGGGACGTCGGAGAGGTGCGACGGCGTTGGGTCCGCCGAGGGTAGGACATCTGCTGCTGCCATGCCGCAGGCTCTAAGAAGGGCTAGGTGCTTGATATCACCACCAGGACCATCCTCGCTTGCTGCTGCAATGCTAGTATGCACCACTCCGCGCGGTCACTCTTAGTCACCTTTATTCACACCAGCGTTGTTACTGGTCTGAGGGTTTTGCTGGTCTGAGGGTTTTGACTGGAAATCTGAGTTTCATGGGCTTATGGCTTGAGGCTCGCTGGCTCACCTCCACGGTAAAGCTGCCTTAAGCTCTGCATATTTCCTACTGCCAGTAACAGGAAGACGATGATGATGATGATGATGACAGCTACACACTATCACTACGATCTGAGTATCACCAGCGTTGCCCCGGTGCTGGCACTCGAGCTGCGCATCTGTCGTTCGGGGTGCACGATGGTACCTGTATGTGTTCACCAAACCCCAAACCGCCATGGGATGAAAGATGTAGCAAACATGCCAAGCTCTGGGAACCAGTGGCTGAGGGTGCAGGCGACATGCAGCGCCGATCATGTCCCGAAAGCCCTGCTGGACATCGACGCAAAAGCATTTGAGAGTGGCAACCTTACAACGTAAGCAAAAACGGCAATGTTGGAGCAAGTGCAAAAAACAACAACAAGCAGACTCAATCGACCGCAACAAAAACATAGCAGGGTCTCCTTGCCATCGCCGAAGTCTAAACCAAACCAACACTCTTGGAGCCTGGAAGAAGCGTAAAGCAAACATGCACATTCCAAGAACATGCGCAGTCTAAGAACCTAAACTTTAACCTAAACCCCCATCCACTCGGGGCAGGCTACCGCGACCAGCATCCCTATCATTGCTGTCAATATGGGCTTGAGTCTTATCAGTCCTTGCGTTACTGCTGTCATGAGTCTAGGGCTGTGACGCTCGCTGCTGTCACCCTGAAAACCGGACAGCAATTACTTGCTGCTACAACGTAAAACCAAGACCCAAGAACCCTAACCCCTAACCCGTAAACCCGAAAGCTAAAACTCCTAAACCCTAAATGCCCCCTAAAGCTTCAACCCTACTCTGCGCACTCTGCTCCATGACGGCCGGCTGCAGAAGCCAGAGCCCAGAGGCAGCCATGGAGCCCACGAAGGCCTCAATTTCGGGCAAGGGGCCGCTTAGGGGGTTTAGTAGGATTTAGTAGCGTTTAGTAGGGTTTAGGGTTTAGGGTTCAGGCCCCTGGACTGACTGCATCACATAACATCACATACACCTAAGGAGCCCTAAACCCTAAACCCTCAGTCCTAAACCCTAAACCCATAAGAAGCCCTCCCGTCCCAGAGCTCAGAGTGCCGGCCGTCAGCGAAAGCTTCTTCAGGCGGCCTCGCACCTCGGCTAAAGAAGCAGGGAAGCGGTGTGAGGCTACATGTCTAAGCTTCCTGGGTTTTTGAGTGTTGAGAGAAGCGGTGAAAATCCCATATTACCGTAACTCGAGGAAGTCTTCCGCACCACACCACACGTCCAGCATGCCTTTCACGGGCATAAAATCGAAACAGACTGACAAACCTCATTCCTTTTTTCACCTGGTGCCAGGCTCGGTGTTCGCATTAGAGAGGAACTCCGGAAAGAAGCACCAGTGCAACTCAGACATGTGGAGCTTCGGGTCTAACGGGTTGCAAAGCTGCTTATCGAGAGCTGTGTAGCCTACTTGCGCCCATTCCGGGTCCCGGTGCAATCCTTGGACGACCGCCGCATTCCTATCTACTTGCCTTTGTGCAGGGACTCAGGTGGCACTGCGGCGCTAGAAAACACCGAAATCAGAGTGCAACCATCATGTCGGATCGCACTCCTCTGCAATGCCAAGGGACACGCAGAGCTGGTTATCACAGCGCATCTTTAAGGGTTTTTTCGGCAGTCGCATCCACCTGTCCAGCTGGTCATCGGTAGAAAAGAGGAAGACCAGCACCCGCGATGAATATTTTACGCACGGTGCCCCTTCCTCGTATGGCCGCATGTTTCGTCTCTTTGGAGGCCTTGACATCGCCATGCCAAAGGGCACACTTCTGTTGGAGTATAGGGTCCGAAGTCCTGTCTGTACTTCGTGCCACTGTCTCCAGGATGCACCGCAACTTCTTCTCGTCTTGGAAGAAGATGTGCCCACGAGAATGCAAGTGCGGCATCCATGCATCAACACTGCGTTTGACTTCCTCCTCTGAGCGTGGCTGGAAAGCAGCTTCGGATGGCTCGTGCCGCACTTCCGGAGCACGCTGCTGGATGTCTGGTCGGTCTGGCTTCACCGGATCGCTGCTCAGATATTCCTTCACTAGAGGTTCGCTGCTGAGACGTGCCTTCGCCAGTGGCCTGCTGCTTGAGCAAGGCGAGTGTGCCTGTGCAAGGCGAAGGGCACCGGTGAAGCATGGGAGGCCCAATTGATCCAGCATCCACACTGCCATGCGCCAGGGTTGCGAGTCTTTGCTGGCACACTGCGGGCTAGCGATGAAAGCGAAAGGATGCAAATAACTCATACTTCATTAAGCAATTAAGTGAGCACATTTATATGTACGGATCAGGCAGCAACGTGGGACTGATCCGCTGGCAGCCCCTAGCTGAACTTTCAAACGGCTTTGTGGAGCAGCTCCTGCGGCCATGTGTTTGCGTCTGCGTGCGCTCAAGCTGCAACCGCTGATCAGGAAATTCGTCTGCGATGCATCCAATCTGCTCCGACAACATGCTTCCGAACTCTGATCACAACGGTGGACAGATACTGAAGCCCTTACCCCGACCACCGAGAACGAGCCATCCACCCAGCTTCAGCTTCCATTCGATGCAAGCTGTGCGCACTTCGCGAATCAAAGGGTTTGCCGGTGAAACTCTCGAAAGCCCCTGAAAAATCGACTCGAACTCCAAGGCAACTCCGACGACACCTCATAAGTTGTGATGACCCCAGCCCTCACTTATCCCCATGCAAACACCAAACCCAGCAAAGCTCATCCAGAACCCTCCAGAAGACAACAACAAGACTCGGTTCAGAAACTCGAAGCCCTAAACCCTTTGTAGGTGTTCCCTGTAAAGTTCCAGCTATTCTGTTCCGACCGAAGTTGCCTCATGCGGCGACCATTGTACAGAAATCCATCGGGACATGTGTGGTAGGGAGTACAGATTGTTCTTGAAGACTTGCTATGAGGCTCCCAGGACTCCCCTGGCTAGCCAGCTCGAGTATCCAGACCCACAGCAGGTCTTTGCAATGTCAAGGCGATTCCACAGACAGAATCGTTGATTGACGCCAATTCGTAATGATCCTGTAGTCTAGTCTCCAAGTGGTTGCTTCGAGACTGTCCGAGAGACCGCATGCATAAGCCCTAAACCCATCCTAAACCCTAAACCCTATAAGTCCAGAACCCGAAAGCCTCCAATTGATCCGCGGGCCCAGGCACCAGCGTGGCCAGCTCAAAGAACACCGTGTCCATGCGGCCCGCCGAGGACCTCCGACACCCGTCGCCCGGGGCTTCGGGATTTTTAAACAGTGCTTTTAAGAAGATAGGGTCTTTAGCCTTTAAGGGATCCTGTAGGGGTTTGTATAAAAGGGCCTTTAAAACGCTTTTGAGGCTACTAGTAGGGGCTCTTTAGGACTTAGGGTGCGACTGGGTTTAGCGGGCACAACATTGCCTTCATGCTTCAAGCGTTGACGCATCCGAAAGCCCGAAGCCAATGAATCAGGTTCCCGACGGACAGCTTTCAAAACGCCGAATACCAAGGAATAGACATCCAGATGCGAGATGATGGGACCCTAAATAGTAGATATAATAGGGGACCCTAAGATAGTACCCTAAATAGTAGGACCCTTATTATAAGGACCCCAAAATAAGGTACCGCTGGTGAAGGAGCTCGGGTTGTTCGGATGGAGAACCACCCGATGTACTCAGCAAGTCGCCCCTTGCAAGCTTTAGCTCGCAACTGAACAATCAAGTGGGAGTTTTCCAAAAATTCGAGAACCCTTATTTTGGGGTCCTTATAATAAGGGTCTACTATTTAGGGTACTATATTAGGGTCCCCTATTCTCGGAAACAATCAGTACCCCAAATAGTAGGACCCTTATTATAAGGACCCCAAAATATGGTACACTAACTTTTGGCTGCGACAGTGAAGGGTGCGAAACCCGTAACCCTGAACCCCCGGAACCCGCGACTCCTCCCCAAGCCGTCAGCTCAAAGCACAGCCGCAACACCGCGCCGCTTTCTCACGCCAGCTTGTGAACACAGATACCGGCGCTTTTGTTCGAGTTCCAAGTTCTTCTGCGAGCCCGGGTAGCAGAACACCACGGATTCCAAACTTCGGGGTTTGAGTCTAAGGTACCGGGACTAGAACAAGACTCGCCGAAGCAGTTCGAACACTATGGCTCCCACTCCAAGCTGCATATTCAAGTCAAGACTCACTATTAACAACCTCCCGGAGTAAGCTCGCATCAGCTTCAGCACAGACCGACCCTAAACCCTAAACCCCAGACCCTAAACCCTAAACCGTTTACATCCGTTTACATCAGCTTGTTTTCATGCCGCCTCAGCGGCCAAGCCCTTCAAGTCTTCCCTCACCTCCTCTTCCTCTCGCCCTTCACACTTGGGCTTTAGAGTTTGTAAGTAGTAGTAATAGCAATGACTATGATATCCACTTGGAGTATCTTGGGGTTTAGGAGTAGCACCACCTGAAGTTACACCTCGACCCTGAACTGAAAGAGCTCGGAGCTCGCAGAAGGAGAGAGAGTGCGCGCGCGACGCTGCTCATCGCGGCGAAAACGCAGCGCAAAGGCCAATGAAGCCGGCTGCCGGCCCTTTTCCGATTTAGGTGTTGGGTTTCTGGCTGTTGGCATTTACAAGGGATGTTTGGGGTTTTGTTGTTTATGGCTGTCCCACAGCTGGGCTTTCCTCGCCGAGGGTACCGCTAACCTTGACATCTGTTCTCGAGAGGCAGCTGAACAATTCGGCCTTGGTCCAAGCCATACTCTTCCTACACACTGGAACGGAGGTTGCCTTTCGCTTCAGGGAAGACTACCGATGAACCGCAGAATGCCTGAGGAACGATCTTGGGTTTTGTGTATAGCCCTAAACCCTAAACCCTAAACCCTAAACCCTGAACCCAGGATTTAATTTCTATGGGCTGGCAGTGCTTCCTGTTCAGCGGCCCGGCTCACTGCACATGACACCTCTCAACCCTGGAGGAGCGCTGCCACCACCTTCTCCACGCTGCCCCCAAAGGCAGCAAGGAGGTTTCGAAGCTCCTCATGTGCAAAGCCTACAAATCCGTCAGAAGTGCTGGCTACGGTTGAGTTGGATTTGGCTTAGTGTTTGAAACGGCTTGAGATGTCTTGCTCAGGCTTTGGTGCCTTGGGATGCTATGAACAGTTCTGGCTAATTATTGTCAGTCAGATTGCTCAGAAGGATATAGAACCAGGGTTCCGTTATCAGGTTCCTACATCTCGGAGTTTGGGGTCTGAGGCTCCTCCACATCGACGGTGAAGCCCTGATCTTGGATCTGCGCGATCTGCTCCGCGTAGGTCGGGGGGGCCTCTCAAGGCCACGGGTGAAAGGCTGTTGACTTGTAGTTCAGGGTGAAGTTCCGAATCCTCAATCTTAGGCTCCGGCCTTCATTTTAGGCTCCGGGCCCTTAATTTATTTTGCTTCCCGGGATGCTGGGAGGCGGTTCGTGCTCCCTCGCTTTTGTCTTGGGTGCCCAATGGCAAATGCTTCAGCCTAGACCGAAGCCACCTCCCAGGAAACCACGTCTCTTCGGTCACTTCATAAGCAGCATCAATTCTGCCGATCCCATGATGACGTGCAGCCAATGGAAACACTATCTCTGTTGGAAACCACAGACCAAGGCACCCAACCCCGATGATGCGACACTTGCAGGTGGAGACGCATGCCCGACTTGCTCACCTCAACCCCTGGCGCTTCTTCCCAGCTGGATGCTGCGTTGCTTGAGCTGGGGGCGCTCAGCGACCTGGGTGAATGCGGCTGCGAAAGCTGTTTGGTGTTGGGTGGCTTCCGTAAGCGCACTTCACCCTCAGAATGTAAGCCTCTCGAAAAGTTCCCACGACAAACGTCTATCAAACTTGACCTCCCAAGTCTAAGTTCCGCCGAGGCACTCTGCATGCTGCATGAACGCGACTACGTCGCCCACCTGCGCGGACACGGAAGCAGAGTTCCATTGCAGAAGCAGAAGACCTTGGCAAGGCCTGATCCCCCGGCAGCCGGTACTTCGCGATGAACTCCTTGGCCACCTCTAAGGAATCAAGGGGAACTTCATGGAACCCAAAACTCGGCATTCCTGCTATTGCCAGGTTGCGACTGGCGCATACATAGAAGCCAGTGCCGTGCCTAGCCTAGCTACGATACACCCGACGGGCATCTTCGTGCATGTTCAGCCGAGTCCGCAAACCTGTCATCTCCTAACATAGGGGCCTTAGTAATTAGAATAGGTTTTTGGGACCCAATACACTGTAACTATAACAAGGACCCCCCCAAAATGGTCTTGGTAATCATTTAGGCCCCTGCATTAAACCGATACTACAACTATAACAAGGACCCCCAAAATAGTCTTGGTAATCATTTAGGCCCCTACATTAAACCGATACTATAACTACAGCAAGGACGCCCCCAAATCAGTATTGGTAATCATTTAGGCCCCACATTTAGAGTACCGACTGCTTTTGCTGCTCCTCCGCCTCTCTCAAAACCCCAAACCTCCAACTAACCCCTGAGGTAAATGGGTACTGTTCTAAATTAGGGTCTTGTTAGGGTCCTTTTTAGGGTTTAGGGTTTAGGGTCTTTCTTGGGGTGCCGTACTATTTCGGGGACCGGAACGGGGACCCTAACTTAGAGAACCACCCACATTGAAAGTGTGCATCCAGTCGCCTGCTCCCGGTCCTCAGATGACTTCCAGGTGATCTGGAGGTTGCGGCCATCATCGACCTTTCGCTTAGGGTTTAGGGATTTAGGATTTCAGGGTTTAATTAGGGATTTTAGGATTGGGCGTCGGGTTTATGGTTCAGAGCTTTGGGGGTGGTGAGGGGCTCCGCCACAGCTGTTCGCGACAATTTCCTGAAGTACCGTATCTGCCCGTCCTGAAGTACCGTATCTGACCGTATCTCAGACCCTGACCACCCTGACCACCCTAAACCCCTCAACCCCTCAACTCCTAAACCCTAAACCCCTAAAGGCCTATACACGGGAGCCTCGGAGAAACCGAACCGAAAGCACCGGCCTGGACGGGGAAGGAGTATCGGAGGCCCGGCTCCTGTAACGATGGCTCTTCGACGCAAAGTCACCGAGCTGGGGCTTCCGGGGTTTAGGGTTTCGGGTTTCCGGGCCTCGGGTTGAAGCTTTTTTTTTTTGTTGCGGGCCCGTTTCCAACTGCCAAGGTCGCCGAAATTCGGGTTTAAGTTTGGGGCCCAAGGAGCGGGACGCAAAATTGGTTACTAGAGGTTCCTGTCTTGCGCTGCCACAATTCCGTTTGCCATAACCGCTATTCTGCATAGTCGCACGCGGCGCGCAAGGGTTTCTCCCGCCCAGAGCGTAAGCCTGACAACATCGCTTTGGTTTGAGGTCGTCGTATGTTCGCAGCTCTAAGTCACAAGTACCCGCTCCAGGCTCCTTCACCTCGCAGGACATGTCCTCCGCTGGCTTGGCCGCAGGCTTGGGGACCTCAACTGTCGGCACCTGCACTGCAAAAGATCCGGACCGCAGGATAATTGAGAAGGCTTATAGCACACAGGTTCATAACAGATGTCAAAATCAGATGTTTTGTGAGGATCGTCGTTTGCCGCACCCAGTCGTACTGGCTCTGCAAGCGCCCTCCAAAAATTTGGCGCAAGGTCCCTAGAAATTCGCACCAGCATACGTATCTCGTGGTATACGACCCCAAGTTTTTTGGCCTATAACATCACCCTAGGCCTAGTCTTGGGTCTCTTCGTCCTGTGTTGCAGGATCGAGAACTGCTACAGCAGCTCTGAGCTAACAACTCTCTATGTCAATGCCTCTGGCACCCTCTTGAATGCTGAAAAAATTTGGTGTTCAGGTTTCAAGCATTAGTTTAATTACGCTGGGGCTTGAGCTTTTCGGTCTAAAGGCTTGAGGGCTCGAGATTTACAAATTCAGGCACCTGGAAACGAAGCACCAACTCCTATCAAACCGTGTGAAATTCGGAATGCTTCCGCGACCTTCGAGGTGGGTGCGTCAATCTCGTTGCACTGGTCCATGGGAGGGGCAGACGGCTCGGCCTCGCATTCAGGCGGTGACGCCTTGCTTGAGGGCTTCTCGTGTAGAGGATGCTTCGGGGATACTTCCAAATGGGTAGTTGTCAAAATTATGGTCCCTTTGGGGTACCCGAAATAATAGGTGCCGTATTATAATAAGGACCCAAAAAGGGACCATAATTTTGACAACCACCCAGACGGCATCTAACTTTGAAGAGCTGATCTCCTACGGGCCCACCCATTGCCGGGATGAAGCGGCATGGTAGGCAAGTCTGTGACCCCTTGCAGACTGTACTTAGGCTTTTCTGCAGCTTGTCACAAGCTGAAAAACTCGGTTTGAAGAGCAGTAGCTCGAAGATGCCCAAAAATGTCGGACAAGCGTAGCGCAAGCTCCCTGAACGAACGAACCTTAAAACTCCGCGAGCGATCCTCCGTCGGTGCAGGCGCTGAAGCCGTGGGCTGCTCGTAGCCGCAAGACCCACAAGATTCCGCCTGCATCGGTGAAGTGCCTGGGCCAGAAATCTCACAGGCCGCCGGAGGCTTGGAGGCTCGAGCTGCAGCTTTCGGCGCTTTTCTGAGTTGCGAACCGCTTGGGTTGGCGCAGCCTTTGCCTGTGGCCTTGCCGAGGCCACCGAGCAGCCCAGCGAGGCCAGCCCAGGGGTTCTCACTTTGGGGGTCTGGGCCCGCACCCTGGCACTGGCCCTTGCCACCAAACAACCCTGCGAGACCGGCCAAAGGATTCTCGCCATTCTGGCTGTTTTGGCCGAACAAGCCGGCAAGGCCAGCCAAGGGATTCGCCTGGTCCTGGTTGCCACGGTTGCCACCCTTGCCAGCCAGCTCGCCCAGAAGTCCAGCAATGCCGGCGAGCGGATTCTCCGTGCCACCAGCTCCGGTATTCATGCCCGCACGATCGGCGGCTTTGCCCACGCGATCGGCCGCTGCGGCAAAGCGCTGCTGGAGAAGGCCTGCCAGCGGGTGCTGGCTGATGTCCTGAAGGAAGCCGGGGAGGCCCATCTTGCCCTTGCCCTTGCATCCCTTGCCCTTGCCCTTCCCTTTGCCCTTCATGCCGGAGAGCAGGCTCCCGAGGCCAAAGGGCATCATACCCGACAAGATGCACTCGAAGTCGTCCCCTCCCTCCGTGCCAAGGATCTCGCGCTTGCGGGCATAGCAGGTACCACAAAGGTCGAAGTCCGGGCGGCTCGTGCACTTGAACCGTGGGCCCTTCAGCGGCGAGGCCTCGCAGCCGTCACAGACGGCCTGGTGCGTGAGAGCGCCTGCAGAAGCTGTCACGTTCTACTAGATTCTAGATGATATATTGCATGAGTCTGTATAAGACCGTATCAAAGCAGTACATCCTGCGGCTCATGCTTGCCCATGATGCCGTGCCTTCGATCATGCAGGAGGGGGCCATGTCCTCCAGGAGCCGGATCAGCTCGCGGTGTCGCGATGCGAAGAATGAAGTTAACAGCCTGAGCCGACCGGAAGGTGGTTCGGGTGGAAGGCCTTCGGGTTTCTCAGATCGGACTCCTCAAAGGAGACAGGAGCCAGGGGTTCGGGAAGTTGCGCAGGCTGCACGTGTTTGCTCCTGCGTCGAGCACTGGCACAGCCCGCTTCTTGCCAACTGTGAGTCCACGCCATGTCTCGCAGACACCCTTGAATCCGAAACTCATCAACCTTGTCCGGTCGATGCTCTTTGCCCGGTGGATTTGCAGATCCGTGAGGCCAAGCCATCTCGAAAAGGCGATGCAAATTTGGAACCCAACCCTGGCCGGCAATGCATGCAAATGGCCCCCGATACACTAAACCCTAGAACAAAAATCCGCTCACCTAAACCCAGATCTGTTGATCTTGGCAGCTTGTGCTGGTCTTCGAAGGGTAGCAAGTCGAGGCCAGTCACCAACGAGAGCCTCGGCTTCGAGGTCGCTGATTGCCGTAGAGCAGCAAAGACACGGTTGCAACATGATTTGGTTGAATGCATACAGACATACTTGCCTACATACATACATACATACATACATACATACATACATACATACATACATACATGTGGGACAGAGATGCCTGAGGGCGTTGAGGCATCGACCGATAGGTCGATCCACAGACAGGCAGGCAGGCAGACGGACCGATACGCATACATGCATGCTGTTTCAGTGTTGTGCTGTGGTGGTGATGGTGCTGGTGGTGGTGGTGTCGCGATTGTAGTTGCTGAGTTTTATGCAGAGCCCGTTGAGTGTCTTTGCTTCATGCTCCCGATAATGACTATATCATCTCGAGGGGCACGAGGTGCCCGGCGGTCTCTGGCGTCGGGTCCGCCAGGAGGGCGTCGAGGGCCGGCACCACGTGCTCGAGGCCGGCGGAGGGAAGCAGCTCGCCTTGGGAGGCTCAGACCCGTTGGCATTTGGCTGATTTTGCACTGGCACTCCCACAACCACCAACAACAACCTGAAGCCCAAAATTCGGAGAAATCAACGACGCCGTCTAGTTTTACAGTCGGAACACTGAAACCATCGATGTGCCACAAAGGAACGCAGGTCGCGCAGCGCGTCCTTTAGAGGAGGCGCATGGCTGAGTGCGTCACCTCAGCCCAAAAAAGTGGAAGCGAAGAAACGACAAAGAAGTGCAACAGGAATCAGCAGCCACCCGGACATCTCTGACATTCGTTCATCAACAAGCAAGTACAAGTAACAAGCCCCAGCGAAAGCAAGCAGCATTCACCGAAGCATACCAAAACCGCAAGGGTGGCCTCTAGGCCTTGGAATCCCGTCTGAGGGCGTCGCACACAGCCTCGCCGATCTCCACGGGCTCGTGCTCTCCCACAGCAGCCATAGCCTGCCGTGAGGCCCCAGGGCCCCTCTAAGAGGAAGCCAACTGCCGCTGCGAGGATGTTGGCATTCCAGGCTTCCACCACTTGGCGGCTTTCTGAAGAATATCAAACGCTGCTGATCGGCCCAAGATCTTCACAAGGCAACAGTCCCCACGCTCAGCGACCCTCAAAACGACTCACAAATCGAGTGTTCACATGAGTAGGCCTGTGGCAAGTGGCACACCGCAACGCCTCAGCTCACTTCCCAGGTGGAGTGCAAGGTTTGCTACGCTTGCATGAGGGTTCACTGCAAGAAGCGCAACCCGGACACTGGCCAGGACCATCGGAGACAGGATCTGACCGATGGTGCTGGGGCCGGAAGCCTCCGCTTCTCAGGTGCCAGTCTCGTTAGTCGAGCCCTCGGCTCAAAAGCTCCACCGGTTTCCGTTCATCTTCCGCGTCTGAACTGCAGGGCTTCTAGCGCCTGGGGCAGCATTGAGGCAGCCTACATCCTCCGTGATCTACTGGTGTCTGGGGAGACTTCGCAAGCTCACTCAGGCCTGGTCCTCCTTGTCCGGACGGCCCATGTCCTGCACATCAGGCAGACTTGAGCTTGCGATCTTTCGTCCTGCCTCGAACCGAAGCAGGCAGAGCCCTCCTCGTCCGTGCAGACGTCTGCAGCTGGCGCAGAGGCGACTTCCGGTTTGGGATCCTCCGGCCGGAGGACCAAGGAAAGCCAGGTGCAATTTTAGAGACCACGAAGTGAAAGCTTGAAATGAGACCCGAGAGCCCCTGGGTAAGGTCCTCGACTTCCATGCCAGGCTCATGCCAAGGTACATGGAACAAGAGAGACGGGCTAGAAGGGCTCCCAAAAGGCTTGACAGATGCTACCTTACTTGCTGGCGATCGTGTTTGAGAATATTCCACATAATAATGCTTATTGTAGTATGGTACGACGTTTGAACATAATGTCTTGCCTTGTCGTTGTTCAGCACAGCAAGATTGCAGCAACGTACTGGATTTCTCCTCCTTCGTAGGGACAGCGGTTGCAGGCGCACCAGACATGATCTCCAGATCCGGCTGGCTGGCGGCCGTTGCCTTCTTTGAACCGGTAATGGCGGCTTGGGGACTGTGTAACCGGTGCCGTACCTGGGTTTCGAGGCCTTAGTTCATCCTGCGAAGAGCACAGAAGGTTCTCACGGTAGCTTTCCTTTCATAGCAAGCATGCTGTGGGATTCGGCCTGGATCTTAGTACAGAGATGCAGATGGGGGACTACTCAACTCTTCGGTCCTCGAGAGACGCCTAAAGCAGGTTATAAACTAAAGAACTTGCCACGATGGAGACCTCTATTGCCTGCGGCTTTGTGCCACAGCAGCTGTGCGTTCTGCTTGAATCCTTGTCTGTGTTAGAGTTTCGGACGTGTTAGATGTGGACTTCCAACTTTGGTCTGTCCGCGGTGGCACCAGAGGTGTGTGATCCGCCACGCTCACAGGACGCCGTACCCATACATACAATCAGGGTTGATGCAAAACTCCGGCTTTGCATACAGGCAGCAGCTTCTGCCAACTCTCCAGGAACCACCGGCATGGCACCTTGAAACCAACCCCCAGGCCCTGCCAAGAACAGCCTTGGCGGCGCTCGCGATGGTGGGCTTGGGCGGCACAGCTGCGGTGCCAACCGCCTGCTCATGCAAGCTGCTTGGGTCGGTCGATTCGCTGCAAGGTGACGACAGAAGTTCTCACACGCCATTGTGGAGGAACCCGAAAGAGAAACTCCAAACCGCAGAGAGTCCTGCCCTCGCCCCGTGACGAGATCGTGGCAATTCCGCCTGGAGCTCCAACTTTAGGATAACCTGGCGATGATGTTGGAAGGTGTTGCAGGCATGTCTGCGGCTTCAGCCCTATCTTGGACTGGGAGCGTGCTGTGAGCAGGCTTAAGCTTGGATTCAGCCCAAAAAGATCAGATCCTTGCAACACCGAACATCGTCACGACGTGTGTGCTGAAAAGTGTTGAGAACAAGTATCTTCGAGTTGCTCACTGCGGGGGAGCTGACGGACTGAGCTGCACACCAACACTGGAAGGCATAATGCAAATCTGGACTTCTGGAACTGCAAACTCAAGCATGAAAGTACTGGCAGCACCAACTTTCATCAGCGTCACAGCAGAGACGGGCGGTAGCCTTAGCAGCAGCAGTCGTCGTAGGTGTCAGTGGTGGCAGTGGTGGCAATGGCACTAGAACTTGCTGTGGTACTGGTGGTGGCACTGGTAGTCGTCATGGCGGTTGGTAGTCGAAGTCGTAGTCGCAGCCACGGAGGTGGTGGTAGTAGAAGTAGTAGTCGTCGTCGTCGTAGTAGTAGTAGTAGTGGTGGTGGTAGCAGTATAGTCGTCGTCGTCGTAGTAGTAATAGTGGCAGTACTAGTAGTAGTCGTAATAGTAGTAGTAGTAGTAGTAGTAGTAGTAGTAGTAGTAGAAGTAGAAGTAGGAGTAGTAGTAGCAGCAGCAGCAGTAGTCACAAGACGAGAAGCAGCCTGCCTTGGTGTCATTACCAGGCATATTTCCAGAGGCGCTCTTCGTCTGCGTGGAAACCTTGGCGTCGAGGGCTGTGTGGTTGACGGTCCGACGGTGCTCTTCTGGCGGTGGTGCGGCCCAACCTACAACTCCCAGAAGCCCGGCAAAGCTGAGCCTGCAGGAAGTCAGCGAAGGAGGCTTCGCAGAGAGTGCAGACGTCACCCTCCTCGAAGGCGTGACCAACCCCAAAAGCTCCGGAACTTGTCAGAAGGTGCCAGAAAAGCTGTTGGGCTTTACTTCCTACGAGAGCGATGAAACTTCAAGCGTGGCAGTTCGAGTGTCCTCATCCGTGTACTTGGCGGTGTACTGTGGCAGCTCCTCCGCAGAGACCACCCAATTGGGCCAGAACCCCGAACCGTGCATCTCTCCTACGAGCATAAAACCCGGTTGCATTTTCTCGGCGTCGTGGGACTGTCAGTGTCGCAGGAATCGAATGCCTGAAACCTCATCAGCTCGTCTGTCTGGACCTCTTAGCACGAGCCTTGAGCGAAGCTGCTACTCTCTGAAGGACAGATCTCAACCGGGACATCCAACTTCCCAGGGTCCGGGAAAAGCTCGGAGACCCGGCGCGAGAGGCCTTGAAGGCTCCAGCTGCGTAGCTTCTTTGGTTGATTGGGTCCTTCTGCAGACATCCGATTACCCAAGAGCGATGGAACCACAGTTTCCCATGTAATCGACCGTGTTTATCTCGGAGCATGCCCAGGAACGATCCCTAAACAAACCCCCGACTTAACGCCATCCTCGATTTTTCAATTCGTGACAAGCCCCTCTCCATCCCGGCCTTGAAAGCACAGGTCGTCCTTGTCCTGAGAGAATTCAAGACTTGGACCCCAGTGCTACGAATGAGCAAGACGAACACATCTTAGAGGCGAATCGTCGCGGCTGTTGCTGTTGATGCTACTGCCTTATTCCCAGTGAAGCTGGTGTTGTTTTGTGAAGTAGCCTGTCCCAAGATGCTTTGTCACGGACTGACAAGCATCTCCCAGCGCAGTCTAGGCTCCAGCAGGCAGCGGCGAACTTCAGCACGGTAGGTGGCCTGAGACGAGGGCCCGATCGTTCCCAGCCCGTGGCCGTTGAAACACGGCCCCGCCTTCAGCACGGCAGCCATGTCTGCAACGAAAAGTATCGAGAGAGGTGCCTCGGGACGCATATCTATCTGATTCTCTTGCATCCCCATTTTGCACGACGGGCATGAAAACTGATACGCAAGTCCACCAGCTGTCGGCGGCGCAAGCCCCCAACAAGCGCTTGAACACTCCCAAATCGGGAAACTGAACAGTGAGCATGGGACACACTCCCAGCCCGTAAAGAAGGCACGTCATCCTGTGCAGACACTGACGCAACAGGGACGGGCCCCGGCTGGGTGGAGGACAACACCACAGTCCTAGTGTGAAAAGTAGCGCATCTCGCGACGAATCGCGCCAAGGTGCGGATGCGAATATGCGCTCAGCGAATTGAGAGATCAGGACAACGCCTTAAACTCAGATGCTGCGGCCACGGCATGTACATTCAGAGTGTCTCAACTTGCACAATGACGACAAATCGAATCATATACCTGCGTGGGTCTTGGGCTGTAAAGACCATGAAACCCTGGCCATGCTACGTAGGGTTTCTGGAAGGTGTTGAAGTTTAGGGCTCCTTGCTTCGGCTCGAGACAAACCCACCCGCTAACCCTAAGCAGTGTTCCATGCTGCGCAGCACCTGCACCTCAAGCCGAGGGTTGTCCACAGTTGTTCGCCCAACTAACACAGCCTGACATACACCTTCTCTAAGGATTTAGAGTGGACACTCGCTCCAAGCTAGCTGAATCCTTGGATGCCTTCAGTTCGCATCATGAAGCCACGAAACAAAACAAACTCCAAATTCCAACCCCCCTAAACCCTGAACCCTAAACCCTACACCCTAAACCCTAAAACCTAAACCCAACCCCAGATCAACCTGAACACTTGGCCCGGGCAGAGTCTGCGGGGAGCCTTTGTGCGGACTGCAAGAACTTCCGAACCAGAGGCACGCACGCCTTGGTGATTTCGAGAAACCTCCTCAAATTTCTGGTGTTGCTGTCCATCTCAAAAGTTATGACTGCCGTTACTAAGAGTACTGCCGTCTTCTTGTTCTCCTTTCCTCGCTGTAGAGACGGTAGTAGGAAGAGCAATGATGGAGGCAGCAACCAGACCAGCACTGGCCGCAGCTGCAGCACCCGCAGTACCAGTAGCACGAGCGCGGGTGACACCGGCAGTATACAGCAAGAGCATCAGAGTCGCGAGAATCAAAGATATCGTTGCCAGCAGCATCATTATCATCAGGTTTATCACTAGCATCATGACCAACGTCAACGTCATGCTGATCGTCATGGTCAGCATCGTCAGTGCCAGCTTGGGCACTGAAATATTCGAGGCTTCGGGACCTGATACGGACAAGATGGCTCCCTGGGTATCTTCGACCCCAAAGCCTCATTTATTTCCAGTTTGATTGAAGAAGCGGAGTGCTCTTGTTATGACAAAAAATGCCGCAGACCAAAGCTCCAAAGAAATTTCGATCCTGGTGGGCCAGGCACGGGCGTGCTGTGTCGTCCGCCCTTCGCACTCGAAGCCCCAAGTCAAGCCCTGGTGGAATACCGTGGGCCTTAGACTCTGCGAGCTTGGTCTCGGACCGTGGTCCGCGCGCGGAAAGAGCCGACCACCGGCACGGAGGGGTCTGGACAGGGCGAGGTTTGTGGCAAAGGTTTGAAGCGGAGTTCACCAAGAAGTATCTGCTTTGTCCTCCAAGGCTACGGTGCGTTGGCAGATACAAGTCAGCCAACAACGGTGTCAGACGTTGTCATGGCTTCATTTGTGCTGCTCTTCGCTCTGCATTTATAGAAATTAGAAATATCAGGTGTCGAGCGCCTCTATGAAAGGAAAAATCATAGGATGAGGTCTGAAACTGCATCCCAAACACTGAAAGTACCACAAAGGAGGCGCGTCATGGTATTGGCATACATCTGCGAATCAAGCCGGTCCGCATCTGAAACAGCTAGTAAAGCTAATGACATCTCCGGACGAGCCCGGGAAGACCAATTCAGCAAACCTTGTGAACCTGAACCACAATAGTAGTAGCAATAATAATAATAAGAAGAAGAAGAGGAAGAATACTGGTAATAGTACTAGCAGTAGCACAAGTAATAACGAGGTGAAGCTCTTCAGGCCTTCCCCAGCTGCACCTGCCGGCGCGAACACGTCCCCGGCTCGGAGCACCTTCCATTCTCGTAGTCACAAGTTCTGGTGATGGTATGAGCAGTTCTGGAGCCCAGAATGTTGCAAAACTCATGTAACCGAAGGTTCCCAAACATTGCCACTCTCACATGCGCCTGCCCACTTGGCACGGCGCCCTCGGGCCGCATTATGAGGCCTCGTGGGGCTGAGGGGCTTTGGGTACCGGATTTGGGATCTTCCTGGCATAGTCCTATTCGACTTCTCCGGAGCGGAAGGACAGGGACCGGCGGCTTCAAGGAGCTGAGCTTCGGCGGGGAAGATCGAAGTTTTGGAATGTTGGGGTTGAGGATTCTCGCATTTGGCTTTTGGCTTACGGTGGGGGGGGGGGGGGGCCCGGGTCTCTTAGCCCTGCACCGCCCTACACCACCTTCGTCCCAGCCTGAAAACCAGAAATCCCAGCGATCTTCGGGCCC